TTAGCAATTAGGCGCCCATCTGGATAACGAGGGAATACAGTTTCAAGTTTTAGCAATCAGGCTCCCACCTGGATAACGAGGGAATACAGTTTCAAGTTTTAGCAATCAGGCTCCCACCTAGATAACGAGGGAATACAGTTCAAGTTTTGGTAATCAGGCGCCCACCTGGAGAACGAGAGAATTCATTTCAGAGTTACTTCAATTCGCAAACTTAAGAAGCATCAGGAGCCCGCCTGAAGAATAGGGTCCATTTTTTCCGGTTTCATATTGAAGATCGAGTAGAGATTCAAGGAATATTCAAGACAAGAAGTAGATAGGATCTTGTATTTTTCTTTTACTTTTGCTGGAATTTTTCCTTTTATTTTCGATGTAATGGCAGGAAGCACGGACCGGAACCTCGACGACACCTCGACCGACTCTCTACCTCGGCATACTCCATCATCTCACGCACTTCTGAACTACACGTGGCTTGATTCCTTTATAGCCAAGGATATGTAGGCATATCAGATACCAGGGCTCGGTCACACTCTCTTCCTTTTTCTTAGTTTTTGGTTTCTTCAAATAAGGGTCGGGTCAAAAACCCGTCTAGTCGTTCTTTGTCTAAAAACTCTTCGTGTTTCCATTCAAAGAAGGGCAGCTGTAGACATGTGATTTTTGACCCTCCCCAAAATTTTGCATATTTTAGCATTTATATATTTATTTTAGGTCTAATATTGCTATTTTGGCTATTTTTAAACTTGTTTACCTTATTTTATCTTAAAAACTAAAAGAAAACTACAAAAAATATTTTCTTTATTTTAGATTATTGATATTTTGTTTAGTTAGTTTTATTTTATTTTATTTTATCTTACAAAGGATCAAAAAGAAAAGTTTCAAAAATATTTTTACTTGGTTTAATGTAATATTAAGTTATAAGTATTTAGTAAATACCGAGTATTATTTAGATTTCTCTAATATAATTATTTTATTTCTCTTTCTAATATTACTTATTATAGATAACTAGTATTTTTGTGTAGTAATTTTATATTACCATTAATGAAAAAAAAAAGAACAAACCAAATAAAGCAAAACAAAAGGAAAAGGAAGCAAGGAGGCAAAGAACGGATGAAGCAAAAGCAAAGGCAAGAAAGGAAATTTAAGTGATCCCTTCCCTTATTTTTTGCCTTCATACCCACGTGCTTTTTTTTATTTATTTAATTTTTGCCAATGACCTATTGCCACATAATCACATTCACATGCACATTAACAGATTTTGGTTTTAATTCTTATTCCCCTCCTATTTTCATATGCACAGTCCAGGTAATGCAAAGGATTGATCTTTTTCAATTGAGGGGGACCACACATTTTATTTCTCGAGGATTCTTTTCTTTGCCCCCAAGCATAATTCTCACCCCTTGGACTTATATAATACGGGCATCTAATACACCCAAAAGGGGGAGAGAGAAAAAAAGTGATGAGGAACGGCACAAATAGAGGGAGGAACGGAACAGTAGCAAGACACAATAGGAGCAAAAATCCCTAACGCCGCATAAGTCCTCTTCCATACCAAGACTCCAACACCTAGAAACATATTTAAACACTCATATTCTCACTTGATTTCCTTCTTTTTCCATAGCCACACAAGTACTAACTTGAGGTCATGTAAAGCAAAAACAAAGCTCCGTCACATTTTATTTTTGCCGGCAACGAGTATCGCTCTCTCACCATAACTGCCGGAAAACCATAGTCCATTTCTTAGCGTCTCGGCAAATCGTTGTTCGAGGTTCCATCTTGATTGGTTTCCATTCGAGGTTTGGTTTGAAGTTGGTCAGTGGAGGTTCGAGGTTGCCGACGAGAATCGTGGTCCAGGTCCCGTCACCAGTTTTCTAGTTTTGCTTCAAATAACCTTTTGAAACTGCTGTATTATTTGGCTCGTAGCTATGCCATTCATCTAATTTTCAGAAGAGTTTCGACTCGACATTGAGGTCCAATTCTTACTCTGCTCTTTGAATGCTTATCATGTGATTCTTGTGAATGTTGGATGAAGATGAATGCACAATTGATTTCAGGTAAATGTGATACGAATGGGGTCTAGGGGCTAATCTAGTTAACTTGTGTGGGCTATTATCCTAGTAACATTTGGGCTGAATTTATTAAGAAAGGTTAAGAGCCACAAATTGATGAAAGAATCTCTGCTGCCATAAAGTTAATGGGTTTTGTTAGAAAGAGTTAAAAGATGGTTTTTGGAGATAATTTGTGTTGCTATTATTCTCATTTCAATAATCGATTCGCTAGTAGAATGATTAGGCCGTCATCACTTAGGTAGGAAATATTAGGACGTTTTGTTCATTTTGAGGTGAGATGTCATTCCCTTAGTTAAATTTATCAGGGGAATGCCCTGAAGGATTTGTATATTTTTTATTCCGGGGAATGCCCTGTAGTATTCTGTAATTGGAAGTCGTGACGAACATCGTTGAAGAAGTAGCGTAATTTAGAACTTTCATTTTCCTTCTTTTAATTTTCTTTCATTTAGATGGGGACGACCTCGAGCCTCTTTGGTATTTGTTTTCCTTTTCTGTGATTTTACCTCAATTTGAATGCTTTAAAAATCAACTAGATCGAGTACGTAATTGTGACCTTCACGGGACTTGGGGAGTGCCTAACACCTTCTCCCCTAGTCAAATGAATCCCCATACCCAAATCTCTAGTACAGACTTAGTTTTGGAGTCTCAAGTGTTTTGAAAGGAAAAAATTACTTTTAGAAAAACGGTGACCTGACACACCGAAATCAAATATCAGGTGGCGACTCTGAGTTATTTCCTTTTGAACGCAATTTTGTCACTTTTGAAATTGAAAAACCCTTTCGAACTATGCGAAATCTTTTTATTAATTAAGAGGGTTAAGTGAGGTTTGTTTTGAAAAAATGGGTGTGACAATTAGGTGTAGTGCTATCATGAGTATTAGCTAGAGGTACTTGGCGAGGAGGAGGAGAGCCTTGAGGGCTATCTGAAAGACTAACCTGCGGTACAGGAAATATAGGCACTAGCAAAACTGGAGTCATCAAATTTTGATTTGTAGTGTTTAGTGGAAAATAGGGAGACGTCTCAAAGAAGGTTACATCCGCAGAGATCAAATATCTTTTGGATCATAGCATTTATAACCTTTCTGGTAACGAGAGTATCCAAGAAAGACACACTTAATTGACTTTGGTTGGAGTTTGTCATTTCCAGGATTGTGATCATGAACAAAGCAAGTACATCCAAACACTCTTAAAGGTAAATGATAGGGATTTTGACCTGGAAAGAGAATTGAGTGAGGATTTTGATGTTGCAACACAGAAGAAGGCATCCTATTGATTAGATACCAAGCAGTGAGAACAGCATCTCCCCAAAAACGAAGAGGAACGTGATGGTGTATAAGTAAGGCACGAGCAGTTTCAATGAGATGCCGATTTTTACGTTCGGTGACTCCATTTTGTTGAGGAGTATATGCACAATAAGTCTGATGAGTGATTCCTTGAGATGACATGAAACTAGTGAAGGGGGATGATAAATACTCTTTTGCTTTGTCACTACGTAATACCTTTACTGAAACACCAAATTGATTATTTACCTCAACGCAAAAGTTTTGAAAAATAGAAAACAATTCAGAACGATTTTTCATTAGAAATACCCATGTGCAACGGGAGAAGTCATCAATAAAGGTAATAAAATACTGAAATTCCAAACTTGAAACAACATGACTAGGACCACAAACATCTGAGTGAACAATGTCAAACATAGATGAAGCCCTATTATTGACTCTTTTAGGAAACGAAGTGCGAGTGTGTTTCCCAAGCTGACAAGATTCACATTCAAAAGAAGACAATGTGGAAAGATTAGGAATTAGTTTTTGAAGCTTTGCAAGACTCGGGTGGCCTAAACGACTGTGGAGTAGTCAGGTGACTCAACTGAAGTGAAGGCAATTGGTGGTTGTGATCTGGACATATGATCGAGTCCCTGTGACTCATATCCTGTTCCAATCGTCTTCCCCGTTCTCCAGTCCTGCACAACAACAGAGTTAGCAAAAAAAGTGACAGAACAATTAAGATTTTTGGTTAATTTACTAATGGAAATCAAATTGAATGGGCATTCTGGAGAAAATAAAACTGAGTTTAAAGAGATAGAGGGAAGAAGTTGCATTTCTCCTATTCCTTTTACTGCAGTTCGCAAGCCATTAGCAAGGGTAACCGCAGAGATGGTTGGGGGCGGAATAAGGTTTGAAAAAAGATTCTGATTACCGGAGATATGGTCAGATGCACCAGAGTCCAGTATCCATGAGCAATTGGGTGAAGACCTACTTAGACAAGCAAAGAAATTACCAGTTTTTGAGGTGCCAGATGAGAGTGATTGTCGTTTAGCCGCTTGATATTGCAGGTAATCACTATAATCCACTCCAGATAAAGTAATAAAATCAGCATCTTGATCATCTGTTTCACCACCATTTTGAACCATGTAGCCTGTACTGCGATTGTTTGTACGTGATGGTCGACCATGTAGTTTCCAACAAGTTTGGCGAGTATGGCCTGGCTTGTTGCAATAATTGCAGTAGGGTCTGGTGCTTTTACATTTTCCCTTTGAGAGACATTTTGTTCCTGTGGATTTTCATTTTGCACAGCTAATACAAATGTCTTCACTTTATTAGTATCAAGTGTTTCTGTTCCAATACACAATAGTCGAGCTGAAACCTCAACTAATGAAGGAACTATTGAGCTTGCCAAGATCTGATCCTTTACAAGGCTGAGATCAGATCGAAGTCCTTTCAGTGCCAAAACCATAAAGAACATATCTCTTTGTTGCTCCTGGGTTGTGACACTTGCAGTAAATGGCATGAGTGAGTCAAATTGATCTTTCAAGGTATCTATTTGTCCTAAATAACTCGTCATATCTTGATTGTTCTGCTGAAGTTGGACTAAATCCGAAACTACTTTGTATATTCGTTGTATATCATTCGTATACAAAGCATTAGCTTTAGTCCCAAACTTTATAGCAAGTTTTACAAGATTGAAACAAGTTGAGTAATTTAGGATCCAAAAAGTTCCATAAAAGATTACATAATTGTGCATCAATTCGAGTCCACTTAGTCTTCTCACTAGTGCCAATTTCACTAGCATTTTTTACTAAGTGATCCTCATATCCCTGTCCCAGGAACCACATATCAACTGAAGAAGACCACGGTGAGTAATTATTACCACCTTGTAATTTAACAGTAGTAATAGTGGAAGGATTTGAAATTGAAGAGAAAAATGGTTTGACTTCTTCTGTTGTGGATGCCTCACCTGTCTGTGAAGAATTATCTTCCGTCGACATTTTGAGATTCTAATTCCGGAAAGATCAAATAGGTAAAAATAATATGTTGCAAATAGCTTCCACTAGAATCCAGAATAAGCCAAAGTAATGGTTTGATGTAGAGGAAAAACGGATATCAATAGTGAACTTTGTGAAAAAAGCAATAAATAGGTGGGACAAAATAAAGAGGTGGGACAATAAAGTGGACTTGAATTAGCTTTAACGAAAAGCTTATCATAAACCCAATTACTTTGCTCCTCTCTCAAAATACAAGACCCAACAACTCTTATTCCTATATCATTACAACTTCAATAACAACAACAAGAAGCAAAAGTAGAGAAATTTCTTACTGTGTTGCAAAAATGGCAAGATTATTGCCTTTGTTTCTGAACTCAAGATTGTGGAAACAAGATCTGGCCGGGAAAGGAGACTACTAATGAAGTCAGGGGTCAGAGGGTAACAAGATCTGACCCGGAGTAGTGACTGCCGGAAAAAGCAGCCGAAGAGGCTCTACCGAGATCGTAGAGGCTCTGATACCATGTGAATGATGTAAGTGTATTTCGCTTCATGCTTAAATGGTAAATTACATCGAGAATATATACACAAAAGCTAGACACATAAGTCAATAATGCATTTCTGAGATCACACTTTCTACCTACAATATTTGACTATCTATCCGACATACAATCTTATATTTGAAATACTCTCTGACAATATCTAACAAGGTGCATAAACCCGGTGAAGGCTTTCTTCTGAGTCTCTTCGCAACAATTCTTTCACCTTTGGTAAATATTTATGAGTAGCTTCCTAAATTTTGAAATATCTTGTTGAATAGCTTCCTGTCACAGAACTCACATGCCATACTAATTAGTCGATTTCACTATCATATTTTACAGAGGTGGGCCTTCTCAAAATTTGTCGAAAGCCATATAAAACACAAACTGGGGCTTGCAAAATATGGAATGGTGCCGGATCATAGTTTCCTAAAAGAATTGAGTTCATGTTCAGTTTCTAAACTGCCAGAGGGCTTCTACGACAGGGTTGAGGAAGGAAGTATCAAGCTCATCAAGAATAAAGCAGAGAATTTTGGATCCTCTAAAGAAGGTATCTTGCTCGAGGGTCAGGCTGAACCAATAAAATCCAACTTAGTCATACTCGCTACTGGCTTCAATGGAATTGATAAGCTCAAACACATTTTTGAATCACCAAAATTTCAGGAATTCTTAGCCGACTCAGATGAATATTCTGCACTTCTCCTCTACAGGTGAGTAATAAATTAAATTAAAAAGGCTTGTGCAGCGGTAATTAGAATTCTTATGCGAGCGAAAATAATGATCGATATATTTTCAGGGAATGCATTCATCCCCGAATACCACAACTGGCAATAATTGGATACTCAGAAAGCGTATCAAATCTATACACCTCGGAAATAAAGTGTCGTTGGCTGGCAGAGCTTCTCGACGAAAAATTTAAGGTACCTAACATTAAGATAATGGAGAAAGACATAGCAGAGATACTCATATATGAACAACTACAAGAGATCATGCATCGCTGCGTTGCATATTTGGTACAATGACCAATTGTGCAGAGACATGGGATGGAATCCAAAAAGGAAAAAGGGTCTTTTAGCTGAGTGGTTCGATCCTTATGGACCAATGGATTACGCCGGCTTACATTCGTATATCAGGGCCTCCTCTCCCAGTTTCAGAGAGGTCTCCTTTTTTCTGTTCTCGTTTGTATTCAAAATCCTACTGTACTTTTCTTCTTTTCCTTCGTGTTGATGCCCGGGTACACTCTTTTATCATTGCCTTCACAAAATAAGCTTGTGATCGATCCATCTTTGAAAACCCTTAATTTAGTAGCTTGACGGTCATACTGGCTCAGCTTTATGAATCTCTACTGAATGATAATTAATACGTAGTTTGAGTTATCATATGAAAAGTCACCTGTGAGGTTTCACTATAACAATTTTGGGATGATCATTGAGGGTTAGCATAGACATCAAAACATTAAAAAAGTTGCGACACTTTTCGTCTAAATTCCTTTGAAGTTGCCAGACTTATATGCGTCCAAGTTTGGGATAGGTAATTTTGGAGTTCAATTGTTAGGCCCAGTGTAATTGCAATTTGTAACTAGTTAGGAGTTACAAGGTTAGGACGTCTCAACACAAATGTTGCTATCAATTACCCAAAAGAGTGATTTAGCTTAAATAAAGTTAAGATTAAGCTAGAATTTCAGCAGAGACAAAAAACGTTAAATGATTTCTTCCAATTTAATATGCCTAAGTTTTGTTGGACATAATTATTTCTATTGACTATTGAGGTGAGATAACACCTACTCGCGGAAATAAGTGAGCATAACCTGATCTAGACATCACCTATTATTATAAAAATAAAATAAAAAAGGTTGCTGTCTTCAACATGTCAACATTTCTTCCAATAATAAGGCTTGCCTATTTGGTGTATTTAGGACAACAAAGAAAATCATGAACCCTTGAATTGATTGTACCATATTCTTAAGTACTCGATCGCCTAAACCTAGAGGAGAAGAGGCTGGTACTTGGTTGGTGATCACACAAACTTTTCACCAGTAATAATCCTATTAAATGTACATCAAAAAAAAAACGAGGCCTAATCAATTATATATATATATATATATATATATATATATATATATATCATAAGAAAGATTAGTAGTCCCATTATAAGATAATAAGGATCATACATAAATGTACCGAATCAAGACCTAAATCCTTTTTTATTTCCGAATCAAGTAAAATCAAATAACGAGGAAAGCGACGTCTAATAAAAATACTTGGGAAGATCTATTCTTGGAAATTACAAAAACGGGTAAGATCACTAATTATTGGTTAAGAAATCAACGCAGCCATCTTTTAAGTAGTGTTATAAATAGTGAGCAATTCAAGCTCATTTACTAACAACATTTAATCAACACATTCTACAGAGCAAAAACCAGAGAGAGTAGCAGTAACAGTAATGGCAAATGAACAAAGAGAGAGCGGGAAAAAGCAGGTGATAGCAATAATCGGAGCTGGTAT